TTAATACACTTTGGTGGAGGATGGTCTATAAGAAATTAGCTATTTCTGCTACCTAAAATGTACTCTCAATGGCAGCATTCAGTACCAATGCAGGAAGAGTAAAACAAAGGTGTGGACCTATATACAGTCTATGGTGTGGACCTATATATACAGTCTATGGTATGGACCTATATACAGTCTATGGTGTGGACCTATATATACAGTCTATGGTGTGGACCTATATACAGTCTATGGTGTGGACAGTCTATGGTGTGGACCTATATATACAGTCTATGGTGTGGACCTATATATACAGTCTATGGTGTGGACCTATATACAGTCTATGGTGTGGACCTATCAAACACAAGTACGGGCACGAGCAAAAAATAGGACTCAAGAGCACAACCAGGCAAAAAAGGTTTTAGTGAAGCATTTAATCCAAAAGGCAAAAATAATACAGGCAAAGATAAAAAAATGTACAGACTGGAACCAACGAAAAACAACCAACTAAATTGGTGGAAAAATACTAATGCAGCAACAAAAACAACAACCAACTAAGTTGATACAAACGCTAAAACTATAGCTTACTTTAGGAGAGTATCTTGGAGCACTTCCTGCTAGACAGACAAGACGAACTGGTACTGACCAAGGCAACAGCACATACTAAATACACAGGAGAGGAGTAATGATTAGGGACAGCTGAGGCTCTTTGAGGCCAGGTAGGTGATTAACAGGGAAGGAAAACACACCAGGTGAGGGATGTGAGGCGATCAGCCAGGGCCAGGATGTGAAAGGACCTATATATACAGTCTATGGTGTGGACCTATATACAGTCTATGGTATGGACCTATGTCTATGGTGTGGACCTATAGTCTATGGTCTCATTGGGAAGATATAGTTTGCCTCCTTTCACAGACCTGCATGCAATAACGCTTGTGTTTCTGATAATCAGAAATATAATTTTTCTTTATCATGTGTTTTAGTTGCTTACCCTAACAATTCCGTTATACCATTTTCAATTTTCACAAATGTTAACCCTACTGTGATTGCCATGCACAGATATTGTAAAAAGCCAGAATTTTAGAAAAGGTATAATGACGATTCGTATATCGGACAATTGAGAAAGTAGCCTTTAGTTTCACAGGAAAATCTAGTCAAATTAATGAATTGCTGGTTTGGGTATTTAAGAATTTGCTGACAAAAGTAGAGTATATCATTGGCAGCATTTTTCTTTTACAATGTTATGCCAGTGTATAATGCCAAAATGACCATCGTCAGATGTCAGATAAAAGGTGTGTCTTTTTAGACCCAAATATATTTTGTATTGTTAAGTGGGAAAATAGTTCAAAGATGAAGCTGCACCAAAGCATGCTTGATGTCCTGCCAACCTTGGAATACAACAAACATTTTTGGCATTTTTTACTTTTCAAAAGGCATATTTTTATATTCATATTCTTGTCACCACCAACTCTCTTTTCTTTTGGGATAGATATACACTTCTGGATGCTTCTCAAATATTTGGACATGGGACAGCAACTTCAAAATGTCAGTACTTTGCTTCAGTTTTCTAGTTTCCCATCAAGTTGGATATTGGACCACAGTGAGAGGAAGCAGTGTCCCATTTCAAGTCTTTCATGCCAGAACAGGACTGGACAGACACACAAGGCCTGATTCACGGACTAAGAAAATAAGGAAAGTAGAGAGAGAGGGGTAACAAGAGAGAGGGAGGAGAGCAAGAGGCCTGAAAGAGGAGAGAGGGGAGACGCAAAGTAGCTCCCATAGGCAGTGAAGAGGCAGCTGGCTCAGAGGTGTACTCGTCCTATTTTTAGTCTCCCTCATGCACATCTCTGACTCAAACAGCTGCTGGAGCATTTGCACACCAAAAGAATTCAGCACCTTCATTTCTGCAGACAAAAAAACCCAAAGCTTCACTCTGGCTCAGGTGTTTCTGCTCAAAGCTAGGGGCCCGTTCTTCAGCCCTAATTCCCTCAGGTTTTTTTTTTTAGTAAGGTTGAGCTACTTTTACACAAAAAGGTGAGGTCTAGCGTAAAGTCGCAGGACCCAGATTGCTGCTGATGCACTCCCCCTGCAGTCTGACAAGTAAGACAGCTGTAAATAGCTTAGGTCCCATGTGAGTATGTATGGAGGGCCCCAGCAGGCTGAGAGAGCCGCCAAAGGAGGTCATTAATGACACCAGGGGCTGAGATGTCAGTCTGGTGTCTCCTGAAAAATCATAAATGCATGAAGTTTTATTTAGTCTGCAGGGAAAAGACAGAATCGCATATTTATTCTAAGACACAGTGAGACACTTTGACACTTATGGTAACAAAATATTTAATTCATGAAATGCTTAAAGAAATCTTAAAATATACATCGATAATGGCTCCAGAATAAATTCCTACTATAATAAAGACATTTGTTATCAGGAGAACGGATGCATCTGATGCATGTTTGAAAAAATAATTGAAAATGTCCCTGAGCCAAACCTCATTTTTTAGGCAATGACGGAAACAATGTCAGAACTGTGATAATAAGCTGCTGCATACGTAGGTAGGTGAGCAACTTAGAGCGCTACACAGAAGAAAAAAAAAGAGGTGGTTTCATTTATTTATCAAATATAAAATATTTATGGGTTTCAATCTGCTGGTAGAGGAGGACCAGGCAGAACAAACTGTGGGTTGAAAGACTCACTAAGTTGCTTTATGGATGGATGTTAATGTAATCTGGTGGCGGCTGCCTGCTGCTCTGCATACATGTTCAACCTAAATTACATTACCAGGCTTTCAAGCAAACAGCTTACCTGGACTGACAGCACACTGCATACCACAGACTAACTTTATCTGTCAGACAATGGGAATGGACACCTCGCCTGCATGAAAGGTGTCTGCATATAGAACACGCTGCTGATGTTCCTGTTCAGCCTGTTCGACTGGAGTGCTGTTTTTTCTCAACACACACACACACACACACACACACACACACACACACACACACACACACACACACACACACACACACACACACACACACACACACACACACACACACACACACACACACACACACACACACACACACACACACACACACACACAAAAGCCAAACCTCCTTACCTCACAGAGAGAAAGTGGGCTTCTATTGAAGCTCAATAAATCTTTCATAAGAGAAAAAAAGAGAAGCAACAATAATGAGTCACCTAATCAGCACCTGGGAACTGCTGAAGTTTCTTGTGAAGGATTAGTTCCCACTGAAAGAGAGAAGTTAATTACACGGCTTTGATGCCACCTAAAGTGCAGTTCGATTTGTGGTTAATCCTCATCAAACTACCACACAAGGATTATGCTTTTTTGACTGACACCTGATTCAAATTAAAGTGCTAAAACGCTTCTTCATAACCTTAAAAGTGCATCTGCATGTATGCCACAGTCAAATGATCAAGCACAGCCGCAGACAGTGTGGGAGAAGGAGAACCGGGGGGAAAAAGAAAGAGGCAAAGCTAATGCTGAGACAGATCACATTCAATGAGTTAGCAGCACTCTGAGTAAGACAGCATTTTAAATAAAACATGAAAGCTGGAGAAGAAGGCACTCCTCCTTATGCAGTGACTTGTGACAAGTCATGATATTCTGAGAGACAGCACACCAAGCTCAGAGCCTTCCCCGGGGAAACCCTTCCCTCTCCATCAGATAGACGATGTATCAGAACCATCAAACACAGGCCTGCCTCACACACCATCCCTCACACACCATCCGAGGCTCCTCAGTGGAGGCCAGACTGACCGATGGAGCACTTATGCACTCACTTCCTCTGTGCACTCCCTTTGTGTGTTTGACTTGAGGACAGGAGATCCACCAATCACAGATGGAAGCATAACAGTCATCAAGAAGTTAACTTTCAATGGAGAAAGAAATAAAGTTATCCAGACATGAGCTAAAATCAAGTTCCACTTCTTCCCTTTCCTCTGCCATAGACATAAGAGGCTTGAGAGGAAGGGCCTGTATCAACATTGATATGAGCATGTAAATAAATCATGGTTAATCTCTCTCCTTTTCTGTTGCTATTAGTCTCTCTGTAAAAGCAGAATGCACATTTTTAGTATTCCCCGAGTACTGCTGACGTAAAAAAAGAGATGAAAGATTCATGTTTGTTTAAAAAATTCAAACAGATGTCCTGAACTTTCAGTACATAGCCAATATGGATAAATTATTTAGTGATAGGATGCCAGAAAGGGATTGTGAGGATTGGATTGCACAAATGAAATCCAAACAATAAACCAAATGGATAATATTATGACTTGTGTGAATCATCATTATCATCTCTACAGCAATAACAGTAAATGCTTTGTATGTAAAGCAAAGCTAAAACAATGGCCGTCGAGTAGAGTTCATGTTTATTTCATTTTCTCCAGCTCAGTTGTTTTCAGCAGCACTGATGTGCACTGTGCTGCTGGCACCTGCAGGTGAAGCTGGAGAGCTGGTCAGTGAAGCACCAGCAGAGGGAGACCATGTCACATGACAGTATTGTGAACACTGCTCTGCTTCTATTTCCCCCTCTTCTTCACGTTGTAATCAATTAAAGTGGTATTCACGGAACAATTACAGAAAAAGGGAGACATAAATGTCCATAAACCTTTAAAAGGACAGACTAATGTAGGTTTTTATTTAATGTAAATTAGCCCTTCAATCTTAATAGCCTACTTGTAATACTCAAACTATTTGATCAACCTCTTAAATGTTGTCATTATAACAATTATTTTACCTATGTGTATTTTATTTTGATCACACAAATTTCCCAGGCAATAAAGTTAATGACGTTGTAAATGTAACTTTGATCAGCTGTTGAGGGTTAAACTGAGTCGGACATGACACTGATCAGTTCTTTGTGCTCTGCCTGGCTGTTGTTGATCCCTCGCAACCTCTCTGTTTTCAGTCTCAATCACACAGGTGGGTTTCGTGTCGTCATATATTTTGGCGTGTGTGTGTGTGTGTGTGTGTGTGTACGTGCGTCTGTGCGTGCGTGTGAGTGTGTGTGAGTATGTGTGTGTGATGCAAACCTCCCGCGCCTGTCTGTGCTGCGTCGTCCTCTGGTCGCGCACTCCCGTCCTCCGCGCACTGCGTCATGGCGACAGTGGTGGAAAAGTTACGCATTTCCTAAACGGAGTGTGAGGAATATCCCTGTGGCTGTCAGCAGACACACATGTAAGTCGTAAATGTTTCTGTACGCTGTGTTTGTGATGCTAGTGTGGAGATATCTCTTCTTCGGCGGTTATTTCCTGTTGTTGTTGTAATACCTGTGCAGCCAGGTAAGCTAACACCTGTAAGCGCGTATAGTGTTTACTGTGAACTAAAACGCGTCTTATCTTAGTATTTCCTCTTATCAAAGTGTTTGAAGTTATGGCAGTACATTCGCGTGTTATTGATATTATACTGTTTTACAGCACAGGAGGGCTCAAATATGTTACTCATTCATTGTAAGATTTCTGACAATAGCTTCCATTGAATGAGCCTCTCATTCTTCTCTCTTTCAGTATGGTGGATTACAGTGTCTCAGATGCAGCAGGAGCCTCAAAGAGAGGGGGGCCTTTTAAAATGGAGGAGCTGGCTCTGAGTGCCCTGCTGGAATGTCCAATGTGTTGTGAGCCACTGGATGTGTCAGCCAAGGTCCTGCCCTGCCAGCACACTTTCTGTACGTCCTGCCTGCAGAGACAGGAGGCAGCCCACTCCCTGCTGCGCTGCCCTGAGTGTGGGGCTCCTGCGGCGGCCAGGACAGTGGAGGAGCTCCCTGCAAACCTCCTGCTAGTGCAGCTCCTGGAGGGGCTTCAGGGTTCCCAGGGGCCCAGCAGGGACATATACACATCCCACTACACAGTGCCCATGGTCAGGGGAGGCTTGGCAGTAAGGGAGAGTCAGCAGCAGCAGGAGGATCAACACAGAGAGACGCAAGGCCACAGTGAGGTCAGTGCACGACCCCTGCCTAAACCTCTGCAAAACCATTTGAAATATAACGTAGAACAACCTCTAAATAGGAAAGCAATCCAGGCTATCCATAATATAAGAAAAAGTATGGAAATATTAAAAAGCCTTCATTTTTGTGACTATGGTGTTTAATAAAGTCAATGTTTCTAACCACCATAGGTATTTGTCAGGATACTTAATTTTGAAAACCTTGGCAAAGAATTAGAGTGGATTAACCATCCTGTTTATCCTGTTTCACCCGCATTTTCGAAGCACATTTGACACATTTTAAATCTACGCTTGAGTTTACAGAGCTCCAAGTCATCTCTTTTTCTTAGCTTCTCTAGCTTACTAGCACAACCTGTTGGTGGCCATAACCTAGTGTATTTGTGGTAATTAGTTCACCAGAAGAAAAAAGACATTGTGTAACCCTAAAAATGAAAAATGCTGTCTCATTGGTTTCCTCAACTAGTGTTTGTGTATGGGTTTGGCCTATTTATTGCAAGGATCAAATGATGACCAATTCCCAAAGCCCATAATCCTTAGATGTGAAATACAATCGCTGCTCCCTACTCTGGATTTCAGACATGACTAGGGTTATTGTGATAGGTAAAATCAATTGAGAATCTTATAATTACCAGACATGAATGTGTGTTATTGGCTTAAAAAGACAAATCACATTTATCACATTAAACATCCTTAAAAAAATCTAATGTTGCATCCTGCTCATTGATTTGCAACATAGCCCACGAATGCACCCATCCATTTAAATAAGAGCTATCTCAGTATTGACATTGTGGAAAAATCTCCTGACATATACGTTTCCTAATGGCATGTATTGACTTGTCATCCAACCCTCATTGATTTATTCTTTCTACTTTTTTTGGAAAAGGACCTGGTGTCTAATTTCTGACCTATTGGATTACTTTCTCACCACTTTGCTCACCATCTTAAACTGGACTTTTAAATGAAAGAGAATAAAATAATACAATGCTTAAGAGCTGAAGTGGGATCTGAGCTACCAAAATGTTTTCCCTGACGTGTGTGAGTCTGTGTTCATCAGTGTCTAAAAGTGCCGCTCTATATCTATATAAACACGTTAAATCTCCAGGGCAATGCATGTACATACAAAGATTCAAATGTTAAAAGTCAAAATTAAAGTAATGACCAAGAGAAGCTAAATTGTAACGTTTATAATATAAGAGACTCAGCTATGTGCTCCGAGGCTGGTAGATCTGAATCTTAATTGGATTAATAATAACTTAAAATGAATCATACCTAATAATGCCTAAAGCTTATTATTCTTCAGTACTTCTCTTTTCAAGTGTAAACAATCCTCAGAAAACTCAAGAAAGTCTTTAATATGTTTAAAAGTCTATGCCACACATCTTGCAACGTTACCTAATTTAAACAGAAAAGAGATCAAAAAATAATTCACAGTGTGTAAATAATCAAAGTTTGCATTTGATGCTGATGTTTTATTCTCTGAGGTGATGAGAAACACCGAAACCTGCCTTTTCTTTAGTCTGCATTAACTGCTCTGAGCGTGTGAGAGTTTAGTTTTAGTCTGTAGCTTGAGTTCAGCCAGAGTTCAAAATCTGCAGCCAGGTTCATAATGTTGCTAGTGATCATTAAGATGTTTAATTGCTTACTTTTCAAAAATGCTGTGCAAAACAGTAATCTTTTAACTGGCTAGGTATCAACAGTTAATGTCAGAGTGTTTATCTCAATAAAACCACCATTTACATTATGCAGGCGCATTTATGAGCAGGAGCGTCATTCAAAAGTGAGCTGAGCGTGATACTAAAAAGAAAATGTGGAATGAAGTTGACAATTTATTAGAATATGTCCTATTTTATGCAGATCATTTTAAATTCCCCCCAAAAAACACTGTTTAAAATAATGATAGAACAATCTAGTGAGTAGTGGAATTACTACAATTTGCAGAAAGTGGTACAAGTTATTAACTTTTTTTGTATTATATATGCATAAAATAATTTAGTGTCTCTGGCCATTCTTGTGCTGTTTTCTTTCTTCACCACAAAAACGTGTAACCGAAAAAAGACATTAAAGTAAAGCTACAGTACGAGACAATACTTGATATCATCTTAAAAGGGAAAAATCTGTGCTTTATGACACACACACTGAGCGGCTGTAACGTGTCTGGAGCGCAGCATTTTACACATGTTGCCCAGCAAAGTCCCTAATCATTGTTTGTCCCAGTAAAAGTAAAGGACAAAATAAACTGTGTCATGTTTACCCTCCTAATGTGCAGATTGGTTTTCCTCCACATCGATTTTCAAAAATGAATACCATCCTGTGTAACACACTTTGAGCATACAATAACTGATTTGTGATTTTCTCTTTTTGTTTGTTCCTCAGCTTTCTTTCAGAGCCTTGATGCGTAACCAACAAAGTGATTTGTCAGGAGAGCTGTTCCTCACGCCTGCTAACGGTATCACTCCGAAACACAGAGTGGATGAGAGCTGGCACCGCGGAAACGGCGGTGACGGTAGCGGAGCGTCTGTCACTGCCAGCGCGCTGCAGGCCGTCAGCCAGATGCCTCAGCTGCAGTCCCAACCTCCGGCTCTCTGCAGGGCGCTGCACGACTTTAACCCTGAAGAGAGGACTCTGGAAGACAGTAAATATTGTCTCAGCTTTCTCAAGGTCTGACTCTCATACTACTGACTTAGCATGGCAGGAAAACATACTTATTGTCACAGCCTTCTGTTTTTGTACACTTGATCTTTTAAAATACTCACAGGGGTTTCCTACGTTTTAATTAATGCACAAAGAAAATGATTACACTTAACTTTTTTTTTTTGTACTTATTCTTTATTAGTTATTTTCTCACGTTCCCCTTTACATCCATTAGTACTCCAATTTAGATGAACAGTTTATTTAACAAGGGGTCGCAACATGTAGAAGGTCTTAAATCCAAGAAATTCAACATGAGAATATCAAAGTTTGACCTTCAGGGGAAAAGAGTAAAGGTGCTATTCAACTTTAATTATGTATGTACCAAATTATTTTCTGCCGTTTAGTCTATAACCCATCATTGGGTTTATAAGTGAGTAATCTTTACAGATTGGTTTTCTTTTTGAGGAACAGTCAACATGGCTGAAGATATTCAACTCACCCCGAAGGAAGAGTAGGAAAATCATAAAATATTATTTATAATATAATATTATATTATGTGCAAATCTGCAACCAGTTGTAAGTTGTAAAATAAATTACCTTTCTTTCCAAGTTAAAATATGTTTTTTGCTCTTTTCGCTGGTTTGATCTTGAGGCGCAGACCTCTGCTACAGAGGTTGTTATTTACCCTGAAGGATTTCTGAGTCGGTTATATAAAGGCCTCAGTACTTGTGTGCTCTCCATTAAAGCACACTTGCTTGCTTCTTCTTTTTTTTAATGCAGATGGTCAAATGGTTTTTAGAGTGAGGCTGGCCATAGAAAGGACCGGGCCTGGAGACACAAAGGCAGTGGATGTCACATGCTGCAGGAGAAACATAGAGAGATTCTGAGTGCTCCGTCTTTAGGGCGAGCGCACTCTGTTGAAAGCACCTAGCATCCTGTTTGTTTGTTTTTTCAGCGGGTTTTAAGCCTCTCACCTTTTTGCCACTTTCTCCAAATTAAGTTTTGGGTCTGTTAATTATTTGTGTTTTGCAGGGAGACGTTCTTACTGTCATCAGGCGTTTGGATGAACACTGGATTGAAGCCAAGCTTGGGGAGAAAGTTGGAATTTGCCCTCTGCAGTTCATAGAGGTGAGTTCTCCTTGGTCCTCCCTTTTTTATTTTTTTTATTCCTTCATTGTTTAAATGTGGGTCGTTGCCTCTTCAGCGTGATCAAAGTTGACACCTGCCGTTTGGCAATTGGTCTGAAGGTGTAGCTCTAGTAATGAATTGAACCATAGATGTCCTCGCTGGATGTCATTAATTCCGGCTTATTGCCAGGGCGCTTACCTTGATTTTCATTCATATCTGCGATTCACCCGTAAATGTCGCTCCTGCAAAGTGCTGAGGCAGAGAGCCAGTGTGTGAAGCCGTGCTTTGTCTGCAGCTGCTCATTAGTGTGTGACTATGTGCCTTACTCAGGTTGGCAACGGTGCTTAGCTAGCTGTCTGTCATTTGTTTTCCTTAGTACTTTCTGCCTCCGGGAATTAACTTTGTCAGTGCTGGGGAGGATTGTTTAGACAATACGACACAGTGGGGTTAATGGGGTGCTTTATCAGTTCTTGTTCCCCTCACTTATGATGTGTTTTGCTATAGTCTTTCCTCATATTTTGTTCCTATTCCCCTCCTCTTATGAGTTCTTTCTTTGAGGTTTTTCTGTCCACGTGTCTTCTCCTCAAGCCCCGCCTCAGTTGTTTTCTTTTTCTACCTCTGTACTGTATTCTTTCATCCTCCTCTTTTCTCCTCTCCCCTCTCCTTTCTGAGACTGCCTCTCTTCGTGTCGTTCATCCAGGCGTAAAGACACAGTAATGCTTTCTCTGCTTGGGTGGCATAACAGCACATCACTGTAGGGAGTGAAAGCATTAACCCTGGCGTGCCTGTCTGTCTGCCTGCCTGCCTATCTGTGCAGCTGCTCTCTCAGCACCAGTCAACCCTTCCTACCGTATGGCTGGTACTTATGCTCCTGCCGGGCCAACAAGTTGTAGGGGTGAGTGCAGTATTGATAGGTGGCAGTATTTACACAGACATTTTTTTAGCGGAAGCAAAGGTTGACATCACTGTTAGCAGGTAGGAGCGAGTTGGAGATCATTCTCTTGACTGGGGATTGAATATTCTCTGTGTTAGGATTCATCTCCATGGTTTCTCTTTATGTGTTCATCTCTTTCAGCCAAACTCAGTGGCTGTCAAACTGCTAGAGGGAAAGAATCGAAAAGGGAGTGACTCAGCAGAATTTCATCATCGGACTGGGAGTGGGGGCAAAGACAAGGCCACTGACGTATCTATTAGGACCACCCACTACGGAGTCCCTCAAATCCCAACAAAGACACCCATCATAAATGCTTTGCCCCCCAGCCAGAGGAAGCAGCCCGCAGACAGCAGCATCAACTTTTATCCGACTACCAAAGGAGAGCCGACCAACATCAGCACCTACAACGGGCGTCAGGGTCCGCCACACCACCTCTCTGTGTCTCTCAGTGCCCGGGGCCACTCTCATTCTTCGAGAGTGAGCTCTCAGCGAATTAGACGGCACTCTGACAGTACACACAGACACCTCTTACAGGTGAGTCATGGGCCAAGACATCTGCCTCTATGAATGCTGTAGTGATGTTATAAGATGTCTCAGTTTTATCAGATTCCTCTTTCTCATAATATTTGAGCTAAACTTTGTTTGGTTTTGTTTAGTTTTCAGTGATTTGTTTTAACAGAAAGCATGTGGTTGGCAAAAGGCATGACGGTTTTCTGTGAGATAGTAGATTTGTTTTTTATTTGAGTCACTGAGGAATGAAGTTGTCCTCAGGGATGCAGGGAGGGAACCGTGACACTAAGCTTAGGAATGAATGAGAAAGAGGAGTCCTCTTGATGTTGGCTGCTGCATGATTAAGCGGCTGTAAGTAAGACAACACAGATGTGTATGAGGGGTTAGATATGTAAGGAGTGAGGAATGAAAGGAGTGAGGTCTGGAGGTGAATGGACCGAAACTTTGAAAGATGTTTAATCAAGAGTCCTGGGACAAAAGCCAAGGCTTCCCCTCATCTATAAAAGCTGTTTAGCAGGGCGTGTGTCCTTTGTCTTTTTACAGTTCAGGGAGATACAGTACTTGACGAAACTTGTAGAATTGTCTTTATTGTATTAACAGTTCAATCTAGATTGTTTTGGTATGATGAGTGTTGGAGATATCGGCCCGTAGAGATGTCTGCCTTCTCTCCAACACAATGGAACTAGATGGCGCTCTATTGGTGGTGCTCGAAACATCAAAATAATACAATTGGAAACTAAACAGTAATTAATAGATTTCCAGAAATCTTGACCTTGTCACTCAAGATATTCTACAGATCTTTTTGTGATCAGTTTCAGGTAGGAACTCCTTTATTTCTACTGAACTATATCCACCAACGGTATCACCACGCAGAAAGAAGCGTACATCCACTCATGGACGAGAAGGTTGTGCTTGTGACAGCGTAAGATGTAAAGTAAATGGCGTCCCACTGGGCTAAGCTGTAAATTAAGCTAGCTCAGAAAAGCCTTTCCTCCATTAGTAGATGCACGCGCAGTGATACACTTAATTGATGTAGTTAAAAACAAAGAAAGTACTTCCTAGTTGACGAGTACCTTCAAGTTATATCTAATTTGAAAGAAGGTAGACATGTCCATGGCTGACATCTCCAACACCTGGCAACTCACACCAAAACCATCTAGATTGATAAATATTATTTTGTGGTGAACTGTCCCTTGAGCAAGGCACCGGACACCCCCCTTCCCCCCTCACTCCCATTGCTCCCCGGGCGCTGTACAATAGCTGCCCACTGCTCCTAGTACTAGACTCCTGGTACTAGGATGGGTTAAAAGCAGAGAACAAATGTCACTGTGTGTGCTGTGTGCTCTGCATGTGTGACCATTAAAGAGGGGTTTCATCCCTCCCAATTCTATTCTATTCTATTCTAATTCTTAAAGCTTCTTTGACTCTAACGTTTGAAATAATGCTGATATTTGAGTGTAAAACACAAAGCGGGCTAAACAACAATCAAAGCTTGGGTGGGTAACGTTGGAGAAGCCAGCACGAGTAAGGAGATGTTTTTAAGAAGATCCAATTAGGAAAAACCCAGCCCAATATTGCTAACTCTCTAGCAGAGAGTGTAGCCAGCAGCACTAAAGCAAAAGTTGCTAAACCGAGTGAGAAAGGCACTAAGTTGGCAAAACTGACATCCTGTCCCATTAGGCCTCCACCCAAAGCCATCCCCTCAAAGTTATCATTATGTATCAAACAATGACACATTAACATAAACTACAACAATGGTTGTTTTTAGTACTCAAAGCTGTCAAGCTCTCAAGGCAGGCATCCCATGAGATAGACACGCAGGTAGTTTCACAGGCAGGTCCAACATCTAATCTTTTCTCTTTTTTTATTAATTTGCGGCCAAATTGAATGACTAAAGGGATTTATTACAGTCCTGCAAAATCCCCAGGTACCAGATTTAGTTTCTCTTTTTTGTTGGACCTTTTTAATTGATTGATTGCTGTCGGGATATAGAGAGAATTTCACCAATTAAAAGTTTTACCCACCCCGGCTCTAACTTTTATGAAGCACTATGCGGCAAACTGTGAGCTTGTCTTTACAGCCATCATGCCATCTAAATTACTCCCAAGTAGAGTGTGTGTAAACTGTAAAGTAGTCTCTAATGCTCTTGAAACCAACAATTTATGCTTTTTCATGTTTTTGAAGATCTTTGAGGGTCACCTTTGACATCTATTAATCATATATCTAATTATAATTTAGGACTGCCTAGTTCTCAAGCTATTGCTAACCCACGGTTTACATGACACCAACAACAAGACACCTGCTGTATATTTGATACAGCCTATATTGTAAGGATAGATGATGAACAACAACAATTTGTGTCCATTTTTAAGATAACCATCAGGAGAATCATGACAGCAACCCCCTAAAATAGACTGAAATTGTACTTATTTTGTCCTCATCACCTTTACTTAAAGTTTGGATGAGTAATTATTTCATCCCATGTATTTGTTTACTTAAGAAACAATGTAATACGATACTGTGAATGCTGCCTGAAGTCATAGCCAGCCAGTGCCTCTGCAAGGCTTAATAATGTAACCAAGTTGCCCGACCCCCTGAGATAACAATTTCCTTTGTTTCAGTATAAATGTCACACCTCTACACAATTATACATAGCAGAAGAAATGCTAAACCATATGCAGGTTGGAGAGGTAGAGGAAGGGAGGTTAGGGAGACTTGAGAACAAGAACAAAGAAGAGGAAATGGGACAGGAAAAGGTGAATGGATATACTGGTGATAGAGAGAATACATTGTGTAGAGCTGGGAAGAGAAACAGAAAAAGAGCTAAATGTTTGAGCTGCAAAGAGGCGAAACACAAGAAGTTGGAAGAAGGAGGAGGAGAAATGAGAGATAGATGCAGCGAGTGGGAGGCTTGGAGACTCCCTGAGTGTGTCTGCTTATCTCTCTCATGCTGATGATGGTGAGTCACTGCTGAAGTTGGTTACATAACAGACCCCTCTCTCCCCTGCCTTCAAACTCTTTCCTCTTCACTAAGCAGGTAACACTCACTCTCACATCAGTAGGCCAGTAATAGCAGACAAGCCACGCACCCTTTTTAAAGGAGCGGAGGGCTCTGTCCCTAAAGCCGAGGCTGCGCTCCCCACAGACAGAGGCAGCATGTGGGCTATTCTTAGTGCTGCTGCATCCCATCATCAGCTCTCACCTCTGGCTCCACTGTTTCCCAGTGACGCTTCTTCTTCCTACTGACTGTGTTTGAAAAGATGCATATTAATGTGAATATTGGCATGGTTATGTAAGAGCAACATTAAGGATGGAAAAGAGCCAAACACCAAAAACATCTTCAAATGTAAGATAGACTATCATACTTAACTGCTACACAAAAATCCCTTGTATTGTTGTTAAGAAATACTTATTTTTGTTCCCCTAGAAGTCCAATAATTGAGTTTAATAGACCATATAGACCGGAATACTCTTAAGTTGATTGATTGGAGATGAATCAGCAATTATCTTGGTCTTTGATTAGTGAGTAAGTGGTTTATTTATATAACATATCCAAAGTGCAAAACTCTACAAAGTGCTTCACAATATAAAGTTAAGCCAACGAGTACAAACAAATTATTGAAGAAGGGGAACAACAACACGGTTAGAAATAAAACAAAGCATGTCCAAACATTTTGAGCTGCTTTCTTCAAAAGTGTCTACAGTGAGAGACTTCAACAAGCACTGTCTCCTTTTAGTTTTAGGTCTCTAGCCAGGAATAAGCAAAGAAAACATGATCCTTGAAAATCAATTGGCAAAAATAAAACCTTGCATTATTTTTTTTAATGAAATAATTTGTATTAGCTTTCCATGAAAATATGTTATTTTAGTATACATTACAAAAAGCTCTATTCATGTTTCCTATTTAAGTTCAAATCCTAGTCCCACGTAAAATGTTTAGGTAACAAAAAGTAAGTCAATTAAGCTTTTATTTGAAAATATAATTGTATTATGAATGCAGTGTATCTGTAATTGTTGCACAACCCAGCTTCATCGATCAATTTCATATAGAAAACACTACAACAGGAACTATAAAAATAAAACACTATAGACGGAAAATGAAGACTTTCCAAACAACATCATGTTGCTTTTCAGTCATCTGAGCCTGATCTTTGAGAGCAGTGTACAACCAGGCGTATCCATCATACTTGTTTTGAGATTGCTTCTGGACAATGTAATTATTTATTTAAGTTTGTTGAAATCACAAATTAAAGTCTAATTGACCATGGCAACTGAGTAGTGCAGGGCCTTCACATTTACACCAAACAGTCTTGGCTATCCCGTGTGTCCAAAACCTTGTCTGCATTTAATACATAAACGCACTTCATGAGCTAGTTTTGAGCTGTGCAAATATATCCATAAAATGTATCTGTTTTGGGGGAATTCTTTATCCACTCTTTCCAACGGGAAACATTTCTGATATCTTTCTGTGTGATAAGATGATTCACAAATGTAAAAAATATGTATAATAGTAAAGTGTGTTTAAGTTTTGTGCAGCAATTGAAACTTAACCTCTCCGAGTTTTTGATACAGCAAATGTGTTATGCGTACTGGCAGGGGAAATCATTTTCTTAAAAAGATAATTAAGGAACCTGGGTATCAGCTGATGAACTTTAAGCAATCATTCAGCTGAAATTACCAAATGTATGAAACTATAAAAAAAAGATATATATCAAAATCCAACAAAACTATGAAATCCTCTCATCTTTCTTACTTGAATATGTGAGATAATAAATTGCTCGTGAACCATTCTTGCTGGTAGGAAGTCACCATAATGTGGACATTAGTATTTTTACAATTGGTTTATTTTTGTTAGCAGTGATTCTACCAGCAGGAGCAAGCATTTAAACCAAATAAGACCTTGTTTCACTGCATGACCAACCTCAGAATTACTCTCTCCATGTAAATGTAGCTTCTTTCACTGATGGGTCAGTGCACCTGGCCATTGCGTGACTGAAGAAGGATGCGATAAAACACAAGAATAGAAAAAGGACACAGAGTAATGAAAAGAAGTGAATAATTGAATGCAGGATAAAAGAGTTGCAGAGCTTTTTCTCTTTGCTTTACGCAACAATTTGAGGAGATAGCTTGGCTGTTAAAAGACAGTGATTCATTGCACATAAAAGTGTCTAATGGTTTCCGTCCATCCTGCTGCTTCTGCTATTTCCCCCATCTCTCAACAAAAAGCGAAACAGAGAAGTCACAGCAAAGTAGTAGGGAAGGAGTAAAAATGGCATTTGAATGTCAAAAACTAAACAAAGAAAACTTTAGATGACAGGATTGCTCATACATCAACTCTGATATATGAGGCTGGACATGTCTTCAGGATAATATATCATAACTTTATAGCTTTACTGATGCCTCACAGCACTGCCTTTGACAAGTCAGTCTGTGCTTATAGCAATGGCTGCCTCTCAATTAGAGCTTCTATTGTGCTTCTTTGAGGTTCAGTGTGAATGCATTGCAGCTTAATGGTGGCTGAGCTGCAGGATATAGGCACATGCTGTACAGAGGAAGCCCCCGGCCCACAGGCCAGCATTAATGTTTTAAGCAGTAGTTGAGTGGTAGGGCTGTAAATAGCAGAAGCACTCTGAAGACGTGACTGCAGAGATAATAGGCACCGGGAAAGTTATCTCCGCCTCTCTGTAATCAGAACAAAACTCAAACATTCTGTGGGTGGGGTGGTTGGGTGGACCTAAATATAAAAATGTAAAAAGGACTCTCTTAATCTCCTTTTTTAGTTTGGTTATTAAGTAATTTAGTTTCATAATGTGTTGTTAACGGTTCTGAGACACACCCCAGTGTCACTCCCTGCTTTTCTCTGGCTGTGCCAGGACTGACTCACAGCCTCATGACTTCAAGCCTGTCAGTTTCAGTTTTAAAAAGAGCAGTTTTGGTCTGTAAAAATAAGTCTGCCTGGCCATTATAAATATTTCAACTGGCACTGTATTTTAAATACCTTAAAATGTATAAATCATAACTCCTTTATTGATAAATCAGGTTCAGAATAACCACAGTAGGTTTTAACATACAAGGAAATTGCTTTGGTGTATTTGTGCACACATAAACAATTAAAATGGAAAAAGAACAAAACGTATTGAAAAACATAAATCAAATAAGGAATGTGAACAATACACTTAAATAGACAAAATTACTTGGAAGAAAATTACGCAAATCTCACACTGTGGGATTGACAGTCACCACAACTAAATATAATTGAACACCTTTGGTAGATGTTGGAGCGTCAGGTTAAGACAGGGTCATAACCATCATCGTTAAAACACCAGGATTATGGTTTAGTTCTTTTATTTGACTTGATGAAAAGGATAGGTTCCCATTTGTATCTGTCTTGAAACAATACACACATTCATCTTAAAACAATCTTTGCTTGTTATTATTATACATGCAATTCAAACGTCTTTTCCTGATATAGTTAGTATAAGGCTTTACTAGTCTGAGTTGGATAAATCAAGTGGATCCTATCTTCTAAAGTTACTGTATTTAAAGTACAGACTTCTCTGGTCAGTTTAGCTGTTGAAATATCTCAACAGCTACGAGATGCTTAATGCTAATAGCTTTGTTAATCCTTTGCGAGTCTACTAGGCATGTTAGCATGTTGACGTTAGCACTCAAAGCACGGCCGTTGCAACATGTAGGAATTACACTTTAAATGTCCTTAAAGGGGAAATTTAAGGAAAGCAATTGGTCAAGCTAAAATTCAAGATATTCTTTAACTATGTGCCATGCAGAACACTGTGCTTTACATTTGATTATACTTTCAAATCCATCCCATTACAGAGTGAGAAGAAGATGACCAGTGAGACTCCACCCACCGTCTCCATGGCTCTGCTGAACCCCCAAATGTCCTCTGCCTCTGCAGACAGCAAGAACTCCTCCACGCAGCAGCTCTCCATCAGTGTGTGAGTCATTGTTTTAAGCAGTACATTAATGATATGATAATGGGATAGAAAAAAATATACCAAGAACCCCTCAAATACTGATGAAACCTATGGTATGATCTTGATATACTCGTGGAAGATAACAAAGACAACTCCCCCATTTGACTCCTCAGGTGTGCCGTCCTATACTCCTACAAACCCCGACGGCCTGAGGAGCTGGAGCTGAGGAAAGGAGAGATGGTGGGAGTGTACGGAAACTTCAAGGAAGGCTGGCTGCGTGGGTTATCGCTCAGAACGGGAAAAGTGGGCATTCTGCCCAGCAACTACATCACGCCTGTGCTAAGGTGAGAGGCTGTGATCCCTGACTTCAGTGAGTGGGAGCTGAATGACATTTGGATTCAGACAGTAATTGAATGTGGGCAGGACGACATGTCATCATGAACTCAATGAATTATGAAACAGTAATAAAACACTGAGGCTGGTGCTTTGTGCAAATAAACTTTAACTACAGTATTACAAGTGATATTCAGTAGGTGCTTATGTCCTAAAGTGTCTCATTGCCTCACTGCAGAACCTCAGCCAGACTACTGGAGACCAAAGCAGCTAATGCGTCTTCTCAGTACAACACACTAACTGGAAAGAAAACCACTGCCAAGAATCCTGCTGTGGTCCTCGCGCTGGATAGGGTCAACTCTGATGGAGCGATTTACTCAAAAGGACAGGTTCCATCTGTGCCAAACGGTGCACAGCATGCAATGTCATCCACTGGCGCCGGAAAACCGTCCCTCTATGGGACTTCGCAAGGTTGGGACACTGTGAGGCGCATCTTTAACCCTCATAGAGGTGAGTGATAAGCAACCACGTCCACATTCTGATTACTCCATTTAATAAAACGTTTTCAATTAATGCCTTCAATGTTTTTTCAGGCTCACGTCATTTCTCCCATATTTCCAACCTAAACAACCCGTCCAACTCACAGCACTTTGCACAAGTTCAAGCATCCGGCTACTCACCTGCCCTCCACAGGAAGAAAAACAGCATTATCTTCTCCACCCCTGGCAGAGGCCGGGGCTGGATAACTGAGCCAGCAGCGCCCTCTGCTGCTGCGCTCTTTAAGGACAGAGACTTCACTGCCTCACATGACAGACAGCCTGCCAATGGACCCCACTCAATTCTAGTCAGACCCGACTCATACAAGAATAATACAGACAAGGTAATGTCATACTTAGGATTTCTGCCAAGAGGCATGAGTATTTTATTTTGCTACAGACTTAAGATGAACAGCGAATTATATCAAACAATAAATAAAAAGTGTTCAGTCATAGGATATGTGCATTCAGTGGTCAAATAGTCATTTACTGTTTTTGAAATCCATAATTATATACTATAATTTAGTTTAAAATTATGAAAATGAGAAAAGGGTTAAAAAAAAAAAAGTAAAAGGCAGTGTGGGTAAGAGGAATAAGGAACATCATTTGTCTGGTGACTCTAGGTTGCAACTAGTCATCCTTTTAGAAGTCGGTACAGAATATAAATTGAGGCAGTTTGTGTAAAATGGCCTCATAAAGAAAAATTGCTTCAGTGTTCGATTCTACTGATGTGTAGGGAATGCAAACTTTCTCATATAGACTGCAAAGCTTGCTGCTGAAACCTGAATCAGATAAAAATCGTAAAGCATCATGCCATTTTTAAAGAACATGAAAGAAAATACTTTGATCTATAGCTGATAAAGGCATCGCATAATTTAATTTCCCTCTTGCACCGTAAGAAAAGCAGCAATTTTTTGTATAATAGTGGTGTCAAGTTAAGTATTCTCTGTTAACTGTTCTAAAATAATTAGATGATTACTGTTCCACATGCACCTTACTGTAGATATTTTTCTCCCCTAGCCGGCAAAGTCAGTGCGGTTTTACACAGAAGAAGACTCCCCGCATCCCAGACGCAGGACCTCCTCTTGGTCGCCAGGAAATCATGTTTCCTCCAACTACAACTCTGGCCCCCCTGCGTTAGAAGTGTGGGCCCCATCGCTCACGTTGGGAAGAGACGGACCAGGGATCATTCTCAAAGAAGGAAAAGCTCCTATTCTCAGGAAAGGCCTGGAAAACATCACCTCAGATCTAAACTCTAACCTGCATAAACCTATAATGTCCCACCCGTCGCTATCAGCCGTGTCAGCTCAGTTCAGCCCCAGCAGGTACGTTTGATTTTTCTGCTTGACCTATAATCAATATGCTTTATGATTTCAGGGAAAGATGAGGTAGGCTTGAAGGTTTTTTTTATTGATTTCAAAAACTGGAAGAAAACCCCTGGCCTCTATTCCTTTTCTCTTTCCAGACACAGAGTGACCACAACGCATTTAGCCCAGACTGACTCAGAACTAAGTCTGCTTCAAGGAGAGATGGTCCTCGTCCACAGACCTCGACCTGATGGACGAGTTCTGGTTACTCAGGAGGGCAGCGGGCAGACGGGCCTCTTCCACAGTGTTATTCTTCAAGCCCTTGAGAGACTCAGTTGACTGTAGTACTACCGTTGTGTATATTTCTATATGCCATGTGTTCAAACTGCCAACATACTTGACTTACCTGCTGAACAACAACATGCGTGTTAAAAGATTAATGCTGCCATTGACAATCCTTTCAAAAAGGTGTTTATTTTGGTCCTGAGTGCATATGAGTGTGGTTAAATTCTCCAGACATATATTCTGTGTTCTTCAATGTATGTGCATGTTTGTTACACATGTACTATTTAACATTTGCACAAAATCCCACCTACTGACTGTTCCTTGTTTAATACCCATGTTACACGCATTGGTGAGTGCCTTTGTCAAAACCCACAAAGAAACAAACTATATTTTAAAAGATTATATTTAGAGAACTATGAAGTAAAATAAAAAGTACGTACCGCTTATATGGAAATAAACTATACTTCCAAGTTGATTGTAGTTTGTTGTCTTACATGTGTAACCTATAATCCTTTAACTAACAATACTGTAATGGAGAAGTTGTTGCTGAAATGCAAAAGTTCTGCATTAATAACTTTAAGTGCAACTTAAGTAATTATATAAGTAAAGCAAGAGTAGGCCTACCTTATCTTGAAGCAACTTAAATTACTTTTGCAAGAAGTATTAAGTCAAGGTTAACACTCGTTATTAGGTTTTGGGATGTTCCACAAGTAAGAATTTGCTGGGTTACCTGCAACCCTAGGGATCCCACTTGTTCACTGTGTAGCAACTGCTTTGTGGTAATTATTTTTAATACATGTTTTACTTTTAAATATGTATGTATTGAAGGAAAGGTGCAATAGTGGTTATCAATTTGATTACTCTCACTTTTTTTGTTTGTATTTTTAAGATTCCCCTTAACCACACTACCTGAAAACATATTGTCAACGTTTTAGATTTTTACAGCCTTATATGTTTATCAAAGCCAAAAGCCCACATATCTACAGCATCTTAGATCGTTAAAAATACACTACAGTGCATCAGCCATCCTGTGAGGTAGTCTAAAATAACAAATCCCCAACTACAATACTCTCAAGACTCTTGAACTATGTCAAGAAAGGTTTTCACATATTTTTTCACATAATACCTATTTCTTTTTGATAGGGATTCCTTGAATATGGCGATTAAAGGGTTTACATGCACTTAGATGGACTTATTCTGGCTAATATAATGTTGTATAATATAACTTTTAGCAAAAAACCTCAAGCATTTCTTTAAAACAATATACTAAAATATCTTCAGTAAGCTTTATTCGGACTTGACCAAGGTATTAGCTGTCTAATTTCAGTCCAGTGTTTGCCAAGACCAATTATAAAGACCATCTCTATTTTAGTACACATGAAGTAGGCCAAATGAATGTGTTTATAATCAAATTAACAAAGAGAAAACTTTTGGCCAATCAGTAGGCCTATTCTAGCACAGGAATGTCATACAATGCACAAAGAGTGAGAGGAATGGGGAGTTAATGGGGGCCCAGCAACTCATTTCTGGTCTTACTGTACTTTTATGCCACTGCACTGCTCTGAATCACCTTCAATGCTACACTTTATGTATATTGATACTTCCAATCCAACAATTCGCCTATATATGTCCCCGATATATTTCCTTTTATGTACACAACGATGCTATGTTCATGCTAGTTAGTGCAGAAGTCAGACTTGTGTAACCAGACAACTGAAGAAAGACCCCCCCCCTCCTGAATTGTGCAACGCATGCGCAGTCTGACCCAGACCTGACAACAAGCTATCGGATGTGAGCCTTTGATATGGGCACTGCGCTGGCATTTAAATGATTCGGTTAACTAAGAGGCAAATTAACAAAACCTACGCACATTTCATTGTCATTAAGTGTACACGATAGTTGCTTCCCTGCCCTCTCACCATGCCGGTAAGTCGACACGCCTTTGCACTGCGATTGTATTGTTTTGTTGCAAAGGGGTTCCTCCCTTCCTCCGACCCACTGATGTGATGCTAACCGGCTAGCACCGATAGCTTACGTTCCTGTAACAAGGACACGATACACTGTTCTCAACGCCGGGTTTTGCCCGTACCATTAGCACAAATTGTTAACATTGTGGGGGTTTTAGATAAAACGGTTTCCAAAATCTGCCATTGTCCATTTATTAAGCAAGCCAGCTAACTAGCCAACGCCATCAACGTTTGCCTGCCTAGCAACCCATCAACGGTTACTAACGGCGGCTAACGCTTGCTAGCTTCGTTTTGACCGAGTCACACCTTAGACAGAGGTTACCATTTGTTTTTCAACCAAGGACACACGTTAAGAAAGAGACTATTCAGCGGACCCCCTCATGTGTGTCCCTTTGCTGTTGTGAAAATACCGTACTGTACAACACAATCTTAAAGTTAGACATACTTCAAATTATTCTCTCCTCCCAAAGCTACTGACACTTTTCAATTAGCTGCAAGTAACACTGTATCCACATGTCAAAGGCAAAGTTAGATAAATGAGCTAACAAACGCACACACGAATGATTGAAATACCACACCCTGGCAGAATGCTAGGGACCCCACTATGCTTTGTATTATATTTTTAATCAACTTGACAGCTAGGCCCTTATGTCCATGTCAATGAACCAAAATTGTAGGTTTCCTTAATTGCCACTACATAATATTTGATGGTTACATCTTATGCCATAACCATCTCTCATCATGGTTTGTTTCTTTTTTCAGAGCAATAAGCATGACAAGCCTGAGGGCAATGATAATGTCAAGGTGGTGGTGCGATGTCGTCCCTTCAACCAGAAAGAGAAGATGATGAACCACAAACAGGCCGTCCATGTTGACGAGATCCGTGGGACCATAGAGGTTAACAAACTGGAGACCCCCCATGAGCCCCCTAAGACTTTCACATTTGACACCGTGTTTGGACCGGACAGCAAACAGCTGGATGTCTACAACCTCACTGCACGCCCCATCGTTGACTCAGTATTAGAGGGTTACAATGGTATATTTTGAATTCGTTTTTTCATTATTAACAGTAATGTGATATGATAAACATTGTTTTTCATTTATTCTTCATTTCTAAATTGACACCGTGATTTTATGCTCTTCTATCCATTTCAGGCACCATTTTCGCATATGGGCAAACTGGCACAGGAAAAACCTTCACCATGGAGGGTGTGAGAGCAGTGCCAGAACTCAGAGGGATAATCCCAAACTCCTTTGCTCATGTTTTTGGTCACATTGCCAAGGCAGAGGGTGACACGAGGTAGGAAAGCATTCTCTCGGCAGACATTCAGTAAAATCAGCAAAATAAATCTTGGCTACACACATAATAAGTCCATCTGACAATTTTGAACATCAGAGCCAAATTGGGTCAAAACCTTGGCGTCTTTTTTAGTTTTCTAATAAGCACACTCAACAAGACTTCATCTTTTGAAAGAAAGTTTGGTGTGGTCCGAGCTAGATACTTTTATTGGCCTTGGTTTGTGCTGAAACAATCATTTTATTTGAATGAAATCTGATTCAAAGAGGTTTTCATAGAAAAAGACTAACAAGTGTGGTAGCATACTCAGAAAATACAAAGTATTTAGACAAATTATTTAATGAACAACTTATTCTCTTTTAAGCTAAACTGATTATGAAAGTTTAGCCCATGCCTTAAACATGGATTGAACTATTTTAATGTTATGAGATAAGACTGCTTATGGGACAGTTTTTTTCTGATTTGGTTCTTATATTGAAATAAAAAGGCTCCATGTAAGTAAAGGTTCTTGAAAAGGTGTTAATAGTGAAAGATGTATTAACATGCTTTATTTTTCCATTTGTAGCTTTTAAAGGTCCCATGTCATGCTTTTCCGGTTATTACCCGTCCCCTTGTGTGTAAAGCTTTTTATGCATGTAAACGGTCTGCTAAGTCACAAACCCTCAAAGTACACCCTGTAGCGAGTAAAACTCTAACACAGAAAAGACCTGTCTATGCTGCCCCAGAACTCCTCGTTGGAGATTTTTCTTTTTCATTTTTTTCTTCCGGGAACCAAGTGACGTAACGACGACCCCATGGACCAATTGGTCCAAATGGACCAATCCGCGGAGCCGTTACGTTACGTCCGCGGAGCCTCACACACACACACACACTCAATCTTTTCTCAGCTGCAGCTCCGCGGATTTCTCCTCCCTGAGACGGCGGGACGTGGCGAGGCTGTGAGTCCACACAGACTCACAGCCAGGCTGCGGGTGTGTGTGTGTGCTCGGGCTGGTTTCGGGCTGGGTTTCGCTGTGTCTCGCTGTCTCGCGGACCCCACGCAGCAACCAGGAAACCACACCAGTAAGCCAGCTCACACTGTCCGCTCCTCGCAGCAGCGAGCCTCGCAACGTCCCGCCAACACGGCACCCAGACCCCACGCAGCATTCTCATCTGTTTGTCCTTACTAGTGTCATTTTCTGGTTGCTAACGCCATTGTAACACATAAACACTGATGTCCCGCTGTAACGGTGGTGGGCTCATCACAACAGAGTGGGCGAGCTGACCAATCAGAGCACACTGGGCTCACAGGGAGGGGGGGGCAGGAGCTCCAACAAGCCGTTTAGGACAGAGAGTGAATACACATACTATACAGAGATGCTGTATGAGAAACCAATGTGATTTTGGAAAATTGCACAATATAAATCTATTTTGGTAGACCTCAACAATGTAATTATGATCAGTAGAAATGGCCATGACATGGGACCTTTAAGTATTGTTCTGACTTAATATAAAAATAAACATTTAACTTCCACAGGTTTTTGGTTCGTGTTTCGTACCTGGAGATCTACAATGAGGAAGTGCGAGACTTGTTGGGAAAGGATCAGTTGCAGAGGCTCGAGGTAAACGGATATTCAAAACAAAAATTAAAGGTTCAGTGACTCATATTAAAACTGTCTTGGAAGATATGTACTAAAGGGCACAATAGTCATTTTTCCAAACAGGAAACCATTCGAAGATGCCTGAATAGATTTGCTTGTACTAGTGTTTGACACTTAATAGCAGTAGTTCATAATAATGTTACATTATTTCATCACAGGTGAAAGAGAGACCAGATGTCGGCGTGTACATAAAAGACCTCTCTGGTTACGTTGTGAACAATGCCGATGACATGGACAGGATTATGACTATGGGCCACAAAAATCGTAAGCAAATAACTGAAAGCATGAAATAGGAAATACAAACCTAAACGGAAATACAGAGATATTTATCTGTGGGCTAGTATAGTAAAACCTCATATACAAGAACAAATAACGAGCCCTCGAAGTGAAGACTAACATTAAACTTTCAGTCTTGCATTAGATACATGTCGTTGGGTGGATTTAGCTAATTTATGTACATCAAATAAAATCTCTTCAATTCATTCTTTATTTAAAATGTATTCTATCTAGCAACGGGCTTATGCTGTTTATAATCAGAAAATGCAGGGATTATAATTTAAAAAGGTGAAAGGCTTGAAAGTACACAAGTGTGTATCGGACATATGTATATGATTTTGTCTGATTTTTAATAATATTTCACTGTGTTCAGGGTCTGTCGGTTCCACCAACATGAATGAACACAGCTCCCGCTCCCACGCTATCTTCACCATCACCATCGAGTGCAGTGAGAAGGGAGTAGATGGAAACCAACATGTGCGCATGGGGAAACTTCATCTGGTTGATCTTGCAGTATGTACCATCCGACCAAAAGTTCTGAGTAAAATTAAACTACTTCCTGGACAATAAGATCATACGGATGCCACTAGGATATGCCTTATTGGCAATTATCCATCTGAACACCACCAATTCATCTGTCTTCCATCCCCTACAGGGTTCAGAGAGACAGGGCAAGACTGGAGCCACAGGTCAGCGTTTAAAGGAAGCGACAAAGATCAATCTCTCTCTCTCCACGCTGGGTAACGTCATCTCTGCCCTGGTGGACGGCAAAAGCACACACGTGCCATACAGAAACTCCAAACTAACCCGTCTGCTGCAGGATTCCCTGGGAGGAAACTCCAAGACCATGATGGTAGAGTGAATGTTTGAAGCATGTGTTAGTTAGAGTTGCACACAAAACTATCTATCAAGTTTTATATACATAACAGATGTTGCCTCACTTTTAAAAAGACACACTTCTCCCCACCAGTGTGCGAATATAGGCCCTGCGGACTATAACTACGATGAGACCATCAGTACCCTGCGTTACGCTAACAGGGCTAAAAACATCAAGAACAAAGCCAGGATCAATGAGGATCCAAAGGATGCCCTGTTGCGCCAGTTTCAGAAGGAGATTGAGGAGCTAAAGAAGAAACTAGTGGAAGGTAACGAGCCAACCAGTCAAATAAATCTAGCTTTTTGGATTTAAATTCCAGTATTTTTTTCCAATCTGACTTTTTAAAATGTTGTTTTGTGCGATTGTAGGTGAAGAGATCTCTGGCTCAGAGGGCAGTGGATCAGAAGAGATGGATGAAGGTGATGACGAAGGAAGGGGGGAAGGAGAATGCCGCAGGAGAAGAAGAGGTAAGAAGTTGTAATGAATGCTCTCTGTGTGCAATAGAGCAACATGACTGAAACCTTATTATGCAACCTTCATAAACCTGTGAGAAGGGTTATTCTTTCATCTAGGGGGTTTGTAAATGGTTAGATAAACGTCTGTATAATGTGTATGTGGTTTAATCGCTTGTCATTGACTGTAACATGAGTCAGCATTCACTTCCTCAGATAAGAATCAAGCAGAAGCAGCTTTTAGGTTAAGTCCTACCTTTTAACAAGCTTCCATAAACATAACACCCCTCTCATTTAGGAGTTTCCCTCGTATTCTCACCTTCCTCCTCCTTCTAAGTGTAAAGTGTTAAATACAGATCACAAGTCATCTCAAAACATCACAGTGCTGACACTAATGTTCCTCTGAGGTCACCTTTCACTATGCTTTAACATGTTCCAGTTTCCTTCCAATACTGTAGTATTAGATTACTCTGAATTATTAATAACCAAACAATTCAGCCTCTATATGTTGCTGTGCTGCGGCCACATTTTGCTTTCAGCTCTGCAAACCGACTATCTACCTCTCCCTGTTTTAAACCTCACTTTGGCTGGAGGGGTGCTTCATCTTTTTGTTTTCCAGAAAGCGGCAGCAGCAGCTCAGAGTCTGCCTGCTCGTCCTCAGTGCGCCTGTCCACTGAGGAGAAACCTCCGAATAGTGAGTTGGAGCAGTAGTCTGCTCAACCAACCCCCCTGCCCACAAACTTGAGCCCCTTTTCACACATGAAAATTGCAATTTTTTTAAATATAAATAGTTTTTGGTGTGTAAACTAAGCTCCTCTATTTGTAAACATTGAATGCTCATGACCAGATTTTCTTCACAGCTTTGGGGAATCACTGCAGAATAATATTAAGTTTCAAAAATAAAAATTCCAACAAAGATTAAGAGCATATCAGCTCTCATAATGTACAGGCTGTTTAAATGGTTAGAAAGCTGATCACCTGATTGCTGACCACAGACAGTGCTTACATCAATTTGACTGCTTTTTAGATAATTTGTACATTTTGTATTATTTCTTTCTATTATTGCTTATTTGCCACAATGCTTTTCATAGCTCTAACCGTTTTTTCTGTTTCTGTTGGAATTAATACAAATCAGTTCAAGTTCAGACTAGGGATGCCAGCGATTTTTCGAATATTCGTTACAGTCTCCATAATCGAAAATTATTTTTAAAATTCGATTTTATTTATATATATTTTTTATTATTATTTATGTTTTTCTTTTTTTTCCTGGCTTAGTTTTAACCAAAATATAGACTAATGCTAATAATAGTAATAGTATTAATAATTGTAAATGGCCATTGGTCACACCACCAGTTTGTTTTACTGTAAACCCTTCTCCGTCACACGTGCGATTGATTTATTGGCGATATACAGAACAGTGAGAACAACACAACTAAAGATGAACAAAGAAGAGAACAAACTTCGAACAAACTACTTCGAACTGACAAGTGCAAATGAAGTAAAATGCAAGCTCTGCGAAAATACTTTTTTTCCCCCTCTCCCGCGGGAGGGGGGTCGTCGGCGAATAATCGATTAATATTCGCCAGGGCTGTCTGATTTTCGAATTTGATCATGGTCAGTTTCTGGCATCCCTAGTTCAGACAGACTTGACTGACAGGTAGATGTGGTCTCTTTTTTTGTAGTGTATAGGGGATTTTCATGCTGACTCAATTACAGCTTGAGTCATTTGAAAGCTTTTGAAATTGCAGAGATGTCTGGAGGCTGCGCATGATTCATATTATAGTACAACACGCCCATATGAAACTTTAAATGCACTGTTAGTAGATTTACATTTTTAGTGAAAAGTGATTTAAGACTTATTGGCCATTGAAGAAGTATTTTATGGATTCCCCTGTATTATCTACATCACGAAATGAGGGGAAGAGAGATGAGGAGAGACCCCTAAACCACCAGGGCTCCCTTTTTAATTGTATCCCTTTGTGTTATAATACAGATCCAAATGAAAACTGAAATTGCTTTGCATTTTCTATTAAAATAACTAACTTTTAAAGGTTGAGCCACTTAGGTAGAATGAGGCATGTGATCTCTCTCTGGTTCATACTTTGCAGCAGTGCATGTGTGAAAGGGGCTTTCTACCTTCCCATGTCTGTGCCACTCCTGTAGGCTCACAGCCCAGATTCCCTCCAAATATGTTACATGAAAATGATTGTGTTTGTGCACGTGATGATAAAGAAGAATTGGCACAATCTGATGTCCAATTACTCCTTGTTGTTCCCATGGATGATCTACAGCAGTGGTTCCCAACCTTTATTGTGCCAAGGACCGGTAGATACATAAAAAAAAAACGGTTGTCAATTTTAACTGATTTTAATATTTACTCACCACCAGCAGGTAGCAACAGAGGCTAATTGTATGTAACAGCCTGAACAAATACTAGAACAATATGCATCCAAAACATATTAACAAAGTTTTAAAAAAGAACCGGTGTCGTTTTTTGGTTTTTCGGAAAACCAAAAAACCGACGTTATTCAGTTTTTAAACCAAAACGGGAAAACAACGTTTTGGTTTTGTTTGTATGATTTACGGATGTGTGTGTGTGTGTGTGTGTGTGTGTGTGTGTGTGTGTGTGTGTGTGTGTGTGTGTGTGTGTGTGTGTGTGTGTTGTGTGTGTGTGTGTGTGTGTGTGTGTGTGTGTGTGTGTGTGTGTTGTGTGTGTGTGTGTGTGTGTGTGTGTGTGTGTGTGTGTGTGTGTGTGTGTGTGTGTGTGTGTGTGTGTGTGTGTGTGTGTGTGTGTGTGTGTGTGTGTGTGTGTGTGTGTGTGTGTGTGTGTGTGTGTGTGTGTGTGTGTGTGTGTGTGTGTGTGTGTGTGTGTGTGTGTGTGTGTGTGTGTGTGTGTGTGTGTGTGTGTGTGTGTGTGTGTGTGTGTGTGTGTGTGTGTGTGTGTGTGTGTGTGTGTGTGTGTGTGTGTGTGTGTGTGTGTGTGTGTGTGTGTGTGTGTGTGTGTGTGTGTCCCTCCGCCGCTATTATGATAGTGTCGTTCGTTCCGGTGCACTCCGACAGCATTTAGCACTACATCGAGATTAAGATTAAACTAATTTATTTTGGGAACAGCCGCATATATGCCGGTGTCGGACAGACACGAACACACAGAGCTGAGCTGAGCAGAGCACATATACACACACATCATGCGCCTTGGTGACTGACTGGACATCTCCTTCATAAAACTAATAAAAGGGGGAGTAATCGGGCAGTTCGATGTGTGTGTGGTTAACACGTAGCAGCCTGCAGTCACTCTTAAGCTGTTCTGATCAAGTTAAACACAGCGAATGCGGTGCGTAAAAAGGCACAGCTCTTTACGCGCTGGTGCTGCACTTCTCAGAGGCGGAGTATACGTCCCGCTGCCTCCTGATGCTGCAGCCATTTCATGAAGTGAAGGAGGGTTTCCTTCTATAAAACAGCTGCGGGCAGCAGATACCGCGAGAGTCCCGGACATTAATTCATAGATCAAGGCAGACTGGTTTACTCTCCTGTTTTGCCAATCCGGTGCTTAAACAAATAGCTCCCTCTACACCCCTGGCCGACATGTCCTTAAAATGAAGTCCGAGTTTGAAATATATCTCAAATAATGTATGCATCACCATTTCCCCACATAAACATAACAGCCTGCAACCAAAGGGTTGTCTCCTGTGCGCTCCTCTTCCTACTTGGCGCACTGGTAACATGCTCGTGCGCACAAGAGGCTGAGACCTTAGGCTGAGCCGCGGGAAATCCCTCGGAACATCATAAAAGCCATTTTCAACGGTTTTCTGGTGAAAGATTAACTAGCTACTGGATGAAATAATATGACTGGTGGCATAGGTGTGAAAATTAAACACTTTTTGAAAAAAGATATTATGATAAAATATTTTTATATATTTATAATTCTGCAAATATTACGATAAACTCACAGCTATTTCGCGGCCCGGCAGTAACACCGGGGGTTGGGAACCCCTGATCTACAGTACATCAAAGTCTTGTTCTGCATCATGATTTGACAAAAAGGTCCCTCAAAGACGCAATTCACCCACATCATGTTTCATTATGTAAAGTGATGCTTTTGGTGTTGAGTTTTTTTATCCTCATGTCTAGTCGCTGTCACATCTCCTCTATGATATTTTGTTATTACTGAAACGTCTCTTTCTCTTGTTGACTTGCCTTTCTCCCCCTCCTTGACCCACATGTGGTGTTCTGCACTTAGAGTTATAAGACTTTCGAGATCACTCTGTAACCTGTTGCTCTCTCTCTCTCTCTCTCTCTCTCTCTCTCTTTCTCTTTCCTCGTCCGGGTGCAAATGCCGCCTGTGTGACTTGCTATACACCTCTTAATTGAAGAAGAAAGAGGTTGGTGTAAGAATCTACAGTCCTACTGTACGGTAGCAATGGTGTTTCTCCTCGCACAAACTATCCAGATGGCTGCCGTGTGTTTCAGTAGCTTTTTCACTAACTGACTCATCTAATAATGGAGGTTTTTGCATAATCTCTGTTAACATTTTTTTGTCCGTCCATATATGTCCACCCATGTGTCTCATGCTCCCCACCTCCATTGCCACGCTGTCATTAAGAGCAATGTGCACTTTATACAGTTCCCCCTTTATTTATTTATTTTAAATGTTGCTTACACTAACAGCATCATTAAATATGTGCATTAGCAAGTCACAGCTTTGTGTAGCTCAAACTCACTGGCACTTATTGTTAGGACTTCTGGTTTTTCCCAAATCCTCACATAATCAACAAATACTAATACTGATTAAAACCCACAGTATAGAAAGAATGAATCTGCACTTAAATCATTGTGACCTATGCACTAACTTGATATAGGAAGATGCATCTAAAACAGCTTGTTCATTAAAGACACTATGGTTTCCTGTTTGTCTCTCTGAAGGGAAGAAGAAGGTTTCCCCGGACAAGATGGTGGAGATGCAGGCAAAGATCGAAGAGGAAAGAAAGGCCTTGGAGGCCAAGCTGGACATGGAGGAGGAGGAGAGGAACAAGGCAAGAGCAGAGCTGGAGAAGAGGGAGAAGGACCTTCTTAAAGCTCAGTAAGTCCATGAAAAGACAACTATAAGTATTACTTTTTTGAAATGTGGTATTCATGATGTGGATGTGGTAGCCGCTCATTACATACTATGATTCTCCTCTAATCCCTCAGGCAGGAGCATCACCTTCTGCTGGATAAATTGTCGGCCTTAGAGAAGAAGGTGATCGTGGGGGGGGTGGACCTCTTGGCCAAGGCTGAGGAGCAGGAGAAGCTTCTGCAGGAGTCCAATAACGAACTGGAAGAACGTCGCAGGAGAGCGGAGAAGCTGCGGAGGGAGCTAGAGGAGAAAGAGGTAAAGAAACGTGGCCCAAAAACTATTCCACGGCCATATACCTCACACAGTGTATAGATCAGCTGATCACGCCATGCGTTTGTTAGTATAAACTGAAATGATGACATCAATGTGTGCATCAGTTTCATCATATTGCACTTTCCTGCTGTAACTGTAGTAAAGCTGAAGTTAGAGTCTCTAGTGTTGACTCTTAAGATATCTAAAGAAAATATGATGTTTTTTTTTTTTACTGGTATAATGGTTTTACTTCCATAAATAAAGAAAATATTGCGATGTGATCACACGCCAAATCAGGCTAGGTGCATAAAGTCCCCCCCCCCCACACTTCCTTCCTCACTACTTGAGGCCTCTCGCTGTCACCACACGTATCTTCAATCTCTGCCTTTATTACGATCTCAACTCCACATCTGTCATACTTCAGGACTGCATCTTTCATGGTTGTGCAGTTATTGAACACACACACACACACACACACACACACACACACACACACACACACACAGACGAACAAGATGAAAACACTCTGTCTTACACTGTCTTAGCTGATTATTAGAATTGTATCGTCTTCAGCCAAACATCTGACGCCTACATCTCTGCCACCCTGCTCGGCAGAATATGACATCAGAAACCACATTGTTGGCAATTTCAGTGCCATTTGTATTGTCAATGAAGTGACTGCATCATTGTGGTTGGAAAATAAGGTCAAAAGCCCCCTCATTTTCGTTGTGTAAAGAAAATTCACAGAAAAGGGAAATTATTTTGATATCGGCCCTTTATCTTTGGAGACCACAGACTACAGCTTGTTTGCTACTGCACCATCACTGATCCCTCTCTCTCTTAAAACAGCAAGAACGTCTGGACATAGAAGAGAAGTACACCTCTCTGCAGGAGGAGGCTCAAGGAAAGACCAAGAAGCTGAAGAAAGTCTGGACCATGCTGATGGCTGCCAAATCAGAAGTAAGCTAAACATAAATGAGATCATACATGTGTGGGTAGGGACCAACAAACATGAGCGACAGAATACAAAATAAAAAAACTAATTCAATTCGTCCACGTCCAAGCAATCTCAGAGTCTTGAAAAATGACCTAAGCTGACCACCATAGTTCTCTCAACGGTGTGACTGCTAGTGAACTCTAAATCAGCTGCTGCTGCCTTATCTGTTTGGTAATCCTCTTTTGGTTTTTCTTCATGAGCCATGCATTTCCTGTGAGTCTTTCATATAGTGCCACTTCAAAACATATTCACCTCATGCGAGATTGAAAAAAAACTCTGGCAAACGTCACACAAAACTCTGTGGAAATCAAACTCTACCAAGAGAAAAAAAAAAAGAAACCACACATATTTTTTGTTGTTGATTGATTGACATCTGACACAGCGAATGCTGATAGCCCTCTCTTGCTTTCTAAACAGCCATTGGATAAAAGCCAAGTTTCAACTTTCTGAGCAACTATCACAGAAATGCGGGAAATCGTCTCAGTTTGTGTGATAATATTATAAAAAATGCTCTGCAGTCCCGCACAAAGCGGGGTACCTGGTCACACTAGAGACAAAGAAAGGCACATTTAAATATAGCATAGACGTTCTGTGATTCTCCAGAACACACATGTTATGATATTAGGGTCATGCAGAGTGAGATGAGATCGCTGTCCCTTTAAGAGAGAGAGAGAGGGGTGTGGCGTGTGCGTGTGAGTATGTTTCTGGAAGTGAAACGAGGCAGCAGAAAAACAGAGGTCTGTGATGTATTTTGTGAAACAGAAGAACAGCTAAATAAATGCAACGGCCTCTCAAGAAGAGCTCGCCTCTCTCCAGTCATTTAAGCTAAAGTGGGTTATTGAACCTGAAGCTCGTTGCTTCTGCCCTCCTCGACTACGGTCTGGGAGCCGACAGGAAAGTTCAACACACAGATGGCCAGTCCGCCCCTTTGTAGCATATTATTTCAATGAGAGATGAGCAGATCGCCACTGGGCTTTCAACTAAAGACACACACAGCCACGCAAAAACTGCGACATTTGTAAAGCTCCTTATGGGTACTGCAATTTGTGAAGTGCTTTCTTCCGTGGTGAAACGATCAGCACTGCATAGACAATTGAAAGTGTTCTACAACATGAAAGCATCAGGACATAGCACACACACATGATACAAAATACATTTAAATACATGTGAAATCAGGCAAGAAAATATATATGTATAAAAAAAAAAGCTCAAATAAAATCAGGAAGGTTTACACTACCATAATACATTTCACAGTGCTGTGTAAAATATACATTATTATTTGATTGCAAATAGAAAAGTCTTTAGCCTTGATTTAAAGAAATTGAGAGCAGACCTGCTTGTCTGGGAGTTTGTTCCAGATCAATGGAGCATTAAACACTGAATGCTGAGTTTAACAAAACAAATTGATCCACGGTGGCTGTTTTGTGTGTTAGATGGCAGATCTGCAGCAGGAGCATCACAGAGAGATCGAGGGCCTCCTGGAGAACATCCGGCAGCTCAGCCGAGAGCTGCGGCTCCAGATGCTCATCATAGACAACTTCATCCCCCAGGAGTACCAGGTGTGTCTGTGTTTGTACTCTAACAGTTAGAGCACTACGACTTTGTCTCATTTTCAGTATTTAGCTTTTGCTTAATATCCATGATTATCATTCCTTCACATTAGAACAGACAATTAAGTGTCTTAAAATAAAAATTAAATACTTACAGTCTTTCCTCTTTCACTTTATTTTCATCCATATGGATGTTTTGTTTCTGTTCCGTGTGCAACAAACTTGCTCTTGAAAAGCAGCTATTACAGTAAAACCAATGACGATCAGTAAAAAATTATGCATTATAAGATTAACTGATTAAAATATACCTATGGGTTTATTTTCATTTTGTAAAAAAACTCATGGACCTGGCTTGTACATCGCTGACAACTTAATTAACGCACAAAATCATGAAAATGTAGCAGGTGCACGCGTTGTATACATATTTTTGGGGATTTTGCAGAAACAGCAGATGTAAAAAGAAACTTGATTTGTCATGCCTGCAGGTGACACCAGTGTAAGACCTTTATAAACCTGCTTGCAGTGCGCCTCTGTGGTTAGATAAATGAGCTGCTTTAGGGATTAATGTCTGTGCTCGCTTCTAGTCCTTATGTGTTCTCTCTTCCCTGTGTAGGAGATGATAGAGAATTATGTGCACTGGAATGAAGACATTGGAGAATGGCAGCTGGTGAGCTCACTCATGCACACACTGGTTTGCGGTTTGATGGACATACATTTAAAGAAGCAGACTCTGTGTTAAGGACCCATAACGTAAGGTGTGTCTCTTTTGTCTTTCAGAAATGTGTGGCATACACTGGCAACAACATGAGGAAACAGACCCCTGCTCTAGACAAAAAAGAAAAAGATGTGAGTTTTTAGCACTTTTCTGCTCCTTCCTGAGATTGTCTTTGTCTTGTGAAATATGTTGCTGATATTGTTTCTAATTTCCCTCCTTGACAATGTATTGTTGACTGCTCCCTGTGTCCTGTAGCCGTTCGAGGTGGATCTGTCCCATGTGTATCTGGCCTACACAGAGGAGAGCATGCGGCAGTCACTGATGAAGCTAGAGAGACCCAGAACCTCTAAAAGTGGCAAAAGTGGCCGACCCAAGACGGGGCGCAGGTAATCTACTCTTGACATAACTGGTACTCCAGTGAACTGTCAGGATTCTCATAGGTTGTTTCTTTCATCAGACATTTTACTTGACAATTTCGACTAACCTTTTATGCGGGTGTGATTTAATGCATTTTTATATACACTAAGCCGCATATATGCATCACGTGTTCAGATTTCTTACGTGATTGAATCCACTTCCTCAGTCTATGTGTTAGAGGATGTCATGCCTTCCCATAACTTTGGGGTTTATGAAACTGAAACGGTTTTGTGATTTTTTTTTTAATATAATGATCCATCCAACACAAACATATGTCCCGCACGGATAAACATTTAGTGAGTTGATGGCCCTCCCTGACCCATACAGATCATTCAGATCAGTGCTCATATAAAAAAACAGCACTTCATCGGTTTTTGTATGACTGTGCAAGATAAAAATTGTGAGCTGAATTTGCTGTTACTTATCGTGTGACAGCTAGAGAGATGGCTGATTTCAGCGTAATTTTATCACTTCAGCTTCCATTATCACAGGAAAAGGTTGTGTAAACCTCAACTTCCATAGACCCGTCACAGGCTTAGTAGGGAGGTGTAATGACTGTAAATGCATTTTTTAGACACTTTAACACTTTTCAACATCTGGCAAGAGATTTAAATAAACCTCTATTTCTTCTTCTCATACTTCATTGGAATTTATTGCAGTCTTAACTGTTGATCAGCTGGTTTTCTGCAACTTTACTTGCATGTGAAACTCAGTCCCTTGGTTTAACAACGTTTTTCATCTTTACCTATTACACTATATCACAATTTACTCCTGAGTAGACAGAATCCTTGTTGGCAGATGTTTGCCCACTCTGTATAATTAGTGCATTTATGGAATGTCAATACGAAGCAATAGCATAATGGTATTTTGCCGTTATCATGATACGCTGTTATTCCGAGAATTGAGAGCGCTGAAAGCTCTCTGCAGTTGTTGATAAATCTTATCTTCATACAGGAAAAGATCTGCAAAGCCAGACGCTGTGATCGAATCCCTCCTGCAGTGAAGACAGAGCAGAGGGGAGCTTGGTTTCCATGCAGCTTTCGTGTCACCTTAGGAAAACAAGTGTCTGAAGAATTTTATTGTTGAACATTATTTAAAAGATTATCTGAATACACTGTATAGCTGGTATGGTTTAAATGTGACGGAGCAGCACCAATGATAGGATTAAGACCTCTTGGCCAAAAGGACATGCTATTTGTATTATACTGTAAGGTTTCTTTATGGATGTTAAACATTTCAATCACGCTTTGAAATGCATTTTTGCGACATCAGCCTCAATAAAAAAACTTTTACCTAAGAGCCTCCGACATTAAAGAAAAAATAATAACCATAAACATTTTTCACTTGCATCATTGGTTTTGAAAACACTTATTGGACATAAACTATAAACTGCATTAATATCTTCTGACAATTGCTGAATATATTTAACATACTTTGCTTTTTGTGATGAAGACTTACTCACTTAAATTAAAGCAATGATTCTGCTCTGAGCACAAGCTGTAGCGTTAGTGTTTTTTCCCATTGACTACAAGAAATCATAAACATGGAGAGAAACTTATATTAACACTAATAGTGAAGGAGGGAATTTAGCATCATGAAACTAAAACGTGCATTCTATACATTTTCCTTTGGATTAAAGGATAGGGGCATGCATGCCAGCTCTTTTGTTAGTGCCATTTGCGTATCCAAGCAAGTCATCTTTTTGTTTATTAACAAATGTCAATACCCTTTGTGTTATATTGAAATACACTTTACATATTGTATGCCTTAGGTAAATGCACTAGTAGGATGTTTTTGTGAAAATAATTTGATTTAATAATGTTCTGTAGTGGAGGATAACTGACTTTTATTTTGTATCATATTGTATGTCAAATGTTTACATCCATCAAACCCCTGGATATTTTATTTATTAAATTATTTTACACCTTTTATCTCAGGTCCTTCTTGGTTTCATTGATTCCTAATTGTGCTTTTTAAAAGTTTATGATGAAATGTAAATTATTTTTTAAATGCATTTGCTCAAACAGCTATTACAGGTGGACTGGACAGTTTTACTTCAATGATGAGGATGAATTGCTCATACCAAAAGCATTATAAACAGAGAAGCTGGGAAAAATTGACTTTACCAACAAACCACTGTGCCATTATAATTTATTTATATAAATACAAAACGACAAAAATAAAATATTTAGGAAAATAAATACATCAAGTCTTACAATAAATAGAAATAACTTAAATATGACATGTTAATAATATAATACATATGATCACCCCAAAATCTTGATTTTTTAACAGATCTCGATCTGGTTCAGAAGAGCTTTCAGGGTACTTCTAACATTCGTGTTCAGGACACAAGAGGTAGTGTGATTCTGAAAGAAAATGTTAAGGACAATTTTAGTTTCAAGCGCAGAACAAAACTAAATACGAAGTAAAGTGATAAACAACATGTTGGACATCAAAAAGTATATTCGTTGTTAGACTGTGAGCCCCTTATTCACTAATTCTCATTTAATGTATGATTAAAAAGTACATCAATCCCATTGAATTCCTCCTTACCAGGTTGTATTGATGCAACTGACGGATTAGTTTGTCTGTTTCGTTTAACAACACTGCATTTGTGCTCCTGTTTAGAGCCATCTCAGCCAAGCAGAGGAATGTATCCTGCAAAGAAAAAGGCACAATTAGTAATGGTCTTTAAAAAGCTGGTGGTAGGACTGAATCAGTATAAAGAAACCAGTTGACCTTCAACTTGAGAAGCTCCATGCCAAAGTGTGAACATTGCAAATGTCAGGTGTACATATTCTTAATAATTAGAAAAGTGTTCTAACTTACCACAGAATCTCTTTGATTGCGTTCAATCTTTGTCACCCACAAACGCAAAACTGTCTACAAAAGAATAAGATCAATAGGTCAGTATTGGACAACAACAAACAAACAAACAACAATCCTATTTATTTGTGCAGTTATCATACCGGTTTCAGGGATATGTTTAGCTTTCCAGCCTCTTCTTGAATCTCTTCGAGCGTACCGTCTGTTGAATGTAGTGATGCTGCGTAGACCATCACGGCCATCATCAGCACCGTGAGATATTGAGTATTAAAGTTCTTCATGGCGTTTTTGAAAGAGACTTTGAGTTAGCACTGTTAGGTCATACAGAAAAGTTGAATGCACTACACGCTCTGTGTTGCTACTTATATGTCACCATTCAACACTTAGACCACAGTCTACACGTCAGTGGAAAACACCAAATAAGGATCAGAGGAAGATTTGTATCTGTTTTACTTTCACACTTTCCACTATTTGTAGAGTCATCTAAGAAATTACCTGTTTATCCCTTATCATCAAATGTCTCAGCAAGAATTGCAGGTCATCACTATGTCTTAACATCTTTAGAAGGATGTCCTTAAGTCAATGGAAAATGACATAAAATCTGATACTATTATTCCAAATTTCACATCATTTTATGAAGAGTATTTTTATAATGACTGTGTCCTGGTGAGTGGGCACCGAAATATTTTTGAATGCTTTACCCGACACATAAAGGGGAACATGTGACTGACAGAAACAATTACTGCCAGTTAAAGTGTCTTTTTTACTCTCATTCCTGAAATAACCAACAGGATTATGTTGTTATAATGTAATTAAGACAAATGAACTAATGTTTGACAAATAGAACTTTACCAAAAATGAAAAATAATTTAAATAAAATAGGGCTGATTTTGATTGATCATACCATCATTTTGCAGAGTAGGAAAGTGATTGGAAGTCTAAACTGATCTTGAGTTATTTGCATATTACAAAAAATGTGCCAGATATTACAAACACTGACAACCTTGGTCCCAGACATTTCAATGATTTGTACGGCAAAGTACGGTTTGGAAACGATATAATTTCCTTTTTTGGTTCATCGATGGTGATAAATAATGTGAAGTCTATAGTTTATGAACATTAAGAGTCATTAATATTTTTTATTTTCGTAGCATTTCCTTGATATGATTGGTCTAAGTTTGCAAGGTTTGTTTGATTAATCTTTCATTATTTCTCAGGGCGAATTCTCTTTCAGACAGCTTTACTAAACTGTTATTCTAAAATGAGGTTTTTAAATGTGAAAAAAATTATGTAACGTGACGTCCACTCTGTCAAATAAAGTATGTGCTGATAACACCATTTGATTCACAGTTTGATTTGAAGTGTCCTTAGGAACAAAGTTACTATATGGATGCATTATTTGGCAACGCTGCTTTTCCACCTGCCAGGATTTGCATCCCCTTGTTATTTCAGCCAATGAACAGATTATGGCAATATGGTATGTTTTGAAACCAAAAAAGTGAGAACATTTCAAGTGTGTTGAAAGTGCAATCTTGAAATAGTTAATCCAGTCCAAAGTGGACTATGGCAAAGAAAAGCACAAACGCTTCAAAACTGTACTGATACAAATATTATTTTGAACCAGCTCATGGTTTGAAATGACAAACATTGAAAGGCAAAAGTGTTATTAAAACCATGTACATCACCATGGTCCCATCATTTCTACAGGCATGGCAGAATATGGCACTATTTTCACATGAATATTCTAGCCATTGTCTATCTTTATACCACGAGCTGCAAAATGACCGCCTTACCCCACTGTACAGGCGGGTACGCTTAGATATACCTGAGCAGGCACCTGCGGGCCACCGAGGGCCAGCGTTGTTTCGGGCGACGAAGACTGCTGCTCCGGGGGCGGCGAGTCGGGCAGGAGTAAGCTAGTGTCCACGACGGAGGGTAACGTAACGTCCCCATCAGACCTGTTGCTATTGTCTGCAGTAGGCCTATGCAGTTTTGCTGGCGTTTAGGGATGGTTGCTTTAACCATTTTCATATATCCGTGATTATCCACAGATGTGTGTCACTGCTGTGGAAGCACTTTGGAAATGATGCACGTGCAGTATTGTATTCTATTATTGATTTTATATTTCTAATATATTTCGCTCCCTTTTTTCTTTTCTTTTTTATAGAGGGTGCATAACATTCAACTGGGGGTGAAATGCATGCCTATGCACCCCTGTAGAACCGGGCCTGGAAGAGCCCCATCTTCAGGTGATATTTAGTCAAAGCTTAAGGACATTTTCACAACAGTGCAGTTTATTTATAGAGGCACCCGAGCCATAGTATGGGCAGAGACAGTAATCAAAGTAGTCAAGATTCAATACAATACAATCAATACATCACAGCATGATTTTTCCTCTGTATTGCCCTTTGAATCATCTCAAGAAAAAGCCATAGGTTATGAAGCCCAATCAATAACATTTGCAAATGACTGGACCTCACTACTAAAGCAGAAAAAAGGAGCTCCACGTCAACCAGCAAAAGTGAAATGCTGTTGACCAGTGGTGTGAGTAAATAGATATTTTACTTTAAAAAAATTGCAATACCACAAGTAGAAATACTCTGCTACAAAGTATCCAAAACATACCTAACAGAAAAAGAGGAAGGTAAAATTACTCAGTATGCAAAATGGTCCATTTCAGAGTGTATATATATCCTATACTCATATGCATTACTCTGTACTTATACCACCAATATTAAAGCTGGTAAGTGTTTTTCTTTTCTTTTTTTAACTATATCCTCTGCCAGGTCTGAGTCAATTCTAATCTTTATCCATACGTTATGTGTTTATATATTGTGCGTAAATAATCTGTATGTGAAAGATAGTCAAAGGCATGAAATACATGTATTGGAGTAAGAAGTTCAATATGTGCACATGACCTAAAGAAGGGGAGTAGGCCTATAAAGAAACAGATAAGGGGCATACTCAAGTAGCCTAAAATACGAGTAGGCCTACTTCAAAATTACAGATCTTCAGTAAGTGTACTAGTTACCTTCTATCAGTCATAGACACTTTCAAGCTTGATACTTGAATCTGTGCTTTAGCAACCTGCATTTTAAAGAGGACTTTTAAACCCTGTTAACCTCTTGTTGTTGGTAGCCTACTTTAGACTATACTTCCGTAAATGTTTTTAATATTCCACATCTGTTAATTATATAGTTTAATCTAATAATAAATATTGCTACATCGTTTTTGAAAAACCTTACTGAAGATGCCAAACTATAAAATATAGAAAGACCTAAGTGTGTGTTTTAGAGCTTGGATAAGAGAAGCAAAACAGCGCGCCTTCCACTGTTTCAGCAAATGAATGAGTTTGATGTAGAGCCAGCAGCACTTTACATCCCAGAGAAGTCGTTCCCTCGTCGGGCTGAACCAATCACTGAGCTCCGCTGAACCTGGGCCACTCAGGGCGGGAGAGCGCTCAGCCAATAGGAAAACGCACAGGATTTAGGTCTAGATGCGCCATTTTACCGCCCATCCGGCAAGATGGTCCCCTTGCTTTGTCTCCCCTGATAACTGACTTTTATTTTATATCATATATGTCAAATGTTTACATCCATGAAACCCCTTGGTTGCATTGATTCCTAATTGTGCTTTTTAAAAGTTTATGATGACATGTAAATTATTTTTTAAATGCATTTGCTCAAACAGCTATTACAGGTGGACTGGACAGTTTTACTTCAATGATGAGGATGAATTGCTCATACCAAAAGCATTATAAACAGAGAAGCTGGGAACATTTGATTTTACCAACAAACCACGCCATTATAATTTATTTATATAAATACAAAACGACAAAAATAAAATATTTAGGAAAATAAATATATCAAGTCTTACAATAAATAGAAATAACTTAATTATGACATGTTAATAATATAATACATATGATCACCCCAAAATCTTGATTTTGTAACAGATCTCGATCTGGTCCAGAAGAGCTTTCAGGGTACTTCTAACTTTTGTGTTCAGGACACAAGAGGTAGTGTGTTTCTGAAAGAAAATGTTAAGGACAATTTTAGTTTCAAGCGCAGAACAAAACTAAATACGAAGTAAAGTGATAA